CGCCGCCGGCAGATCGGCTTCCTGCCCTGCCGGGTCAATATTTGTGTCCCCATAGTAAAGTCCACACAGGTGTGGGGCGGCTGGGGCAACGTGGGCAGGGTGCCGGAGGAGAAGGAGGAGGAGGAGGAGGAGGGGGGAGTGCCCTCACGCTCTGCCCCCTGCCCCGGCACCCCCTGGTGAGCCTGTCCCTGCCCTCCCAGCGAGGAGGACGTCGAGCGGATCCAGCAGCTGGCGGAGCTCCACAAGCTGGAGGTGGTTCCCCTGGTGCAGACCTTTGGGCACGTGGAGGTAGGGGGTCCCGGTCCCGCTCCTCATCCCACATCACGGGGGATTCCTCCTTGGAAACCCCCCCTGACAGCTCGTCCCGCACAGTTCATCCTCAAGCACGAGAAGTACCAGCACCTGCGGGAGGTCGAGCGCTTCCCCAACAGCTTCAACCCCCACGTCCCCGACACCCTGGCCCTGCTCAAGAGCGTCTTGTCGCAGGTGATCGAGAAGCACAGGCGCTCCGCCTGGATCCACATCGGCGCCGATGAGGTGGGCGGTGGGCTGTGCGGGGACCCCAGCCCTCACCCCGGGCACCAGGGCTGCTCCCAGGGGTGCTGAGCATCCCCCTTCTCCCAAATCCAGGTCTTCCATCTCGGGGAGGGGATGGACTCCAAAAACTGGATGAGCCACAACAAGGGCGACATGGGGACCATGTACCTGAATCACATCAAGGAGGTGCTGGGCTTCCTCACCACGCAGCACTGGGGGCTGCGGGCGCTCATGTGGGACGACATGCTGAGGAAGATCAGCGTGGGAGCCCTGCGGGGTGAGAGGATGGGGACGGCAGCGGGGGCACCCGAGCCGGGGACTCCAAAAACTGGATGAGCCACAACAAGGGCGACATGGGGACCATGTACCTGAATCACATCAAGGAGGTGCTGGGCTTCCTCACCACGCAGCACTGGGGGCTGCGGGCGCTCATGTGGGACGACATGCTGAGGAAGATCAGCGTGGGAGCCCTGCGGGGTGAGAGGATGGGGACGGCAGCGGGGGCACCCGAGCCGGGGGTCTTGGCGGCGCCCGTTCATGCGGCC